GTAAACTTATCTAATTCCGTGATTTTGGTAATTATTAAAGAGGCTGCGGAAAGTCTAAAGGTCGAACAAGTTGGTCTGGTGAACCAGAATGTGAAGATTACAAAACAATGCTAGAATTTTTATCGAAATCTGGTAGAATTGGTGAAAATACCATATTACAGATTCCCAACATTTCTGATGTTACAATAATAGTAAGTTATTTTATATCATTTGATCTAATTTAAGTTTTTTCTTTTTTTTTATCTTAAAATTGCGGAATTTATTTTTTAAAGGGTTATAGTTACGGTTCACTAATAGCATCGTCCCTTGCCTCATCATCTTCCCAATTTACGCTCCCAACTTCATATGTCTTAATAAATTATCCGCTTTCTGTGATTTGGTTCTTAACATTTTTTCGGTTTTCAACATATTTAAATTATTTACATATTCTCCTTTCTTCAACTTCCCGCGTACTATTTATATATGGGGATTCGGATCAATTTACTGGAGTAAACAAATACAAGCAATGGGTTAAAGATAATAAAGCGGTGGAAAATCTTTTGTGGACTATCAAAGAATTAAAGGGAACTGATCATTTTTATACTTATCATAATATGGAAGATAAGTTGATCAAAGCTCTGGATGAATGGATAAACAATGTTTAGTTATTACAATCTTACAAATTATTAAAACATATATTTTTATTAATTCTTAATTTATTTATTTTATGTTCGAGGTGAGAGATTCATTTTTCAATTAAAAAAAAAAAAAATTTTGACAAGCAAATAATAGAGTGCGTTTAGGCATCTCTTGTGGAAGATATAATTTTTTGCCAATCAAAATTAACGGCTAACTTTTGTTAGCCAATAGTGAGTCATGATTTGGTATAACATAACATGGTCAGAAAAGTCCAAACGTTTTGAACATAAAAAAAACCTCTAATAAAAGCAAATTTATTATATAATTTGCTAAATAATAACCAATATAAATAGAGCTTTGAATATAATCGTATGGCTATACGTATCCTTGATGAATATATTTTTCTTATATTTTCATATTTAGGCAGAATAAATTTAGTTATGTTTTAACTTTTGAATCCCGCACCCCTGCATAACACTTGAATCTCGCTTTCGGCATATAACAAAAAATGATGTTTTACGATTCTACGTAATGCTAAACCATAACCAGAATTATTATAAATTAGGTTAACCTAACTCGGAATTGAGCCAACCTCATCTGTCAAAAAAATAAACAATATATATTTAACGTGTTAACGAATGCAATAACCAAATAAAAACTAGACACCCTTTGAATAGCGATAGACTAGGGGTTTACTTATCGTAGACCAATTGCATATTTCACGTGATTTTGTACTCGTTCCTGACTTCCCCTGCAGCACCAACAAATTTTTCCG